TTACAAACGGATCATTGGGGGACACAATATCCTATATGTACAACAAATATTTGCACGCGCTATAAGTCCGATCGCAAGTATACCTGGATGGTAAGCCATTCCTGTAAGCTCGTCCACCATCTTCTTACGATGCCATGTTGCTGATGTACTTTTGAAACAAATCGCGTTCCTCGTGATTTTTATCCTCAAGTTCTTGTATATTACCGTTGACCATCAACGTCTGTTTCTCGAAGGCACTACAATATTAAATATGCTGCTTTACTATTTGCTGACATGGGATTTTTCAAAGTTCGAAACTGTAAATGTTTTCATCATCTTCGACGTGAACGTCCATGAATAACAATAGAAATCTATTGCATTTTCAAAGGTCCCGTGTCCTCTCTCTAAGCTAAGCCCGCCCTTCCTCTCCTTTCCAATAGTGCCCAATCTCTCTCCCTCGTAAAAATAGACACACAAACCTGTCTAGAAACTAGTGAAGATCTCGCCAAAAGTGAATTGAGCTCCTCCTCGAAATGTTTGAAAGATAAAATTTCTGCGACAATTCCGCGTTCCTTTGCCATGTCGCAGTCGAGTTTCGTGTTGCATAGAATAACAGACATTGCCTGATTTAAAGGAAATTCACCGTAAGACAAAATGAATTTTTTAAAGCATCTCGGTTCTTTATAAAAACAACAATTATGTTTCACGATACACTTTTTAAGGGGGTGGGGTAGGGATAGGGAGTAAAGCATTTTGGGAACTTAGATAAAGCTATTCGTAGTTTTAATTACTTTTCAATCTCACAGTTAATTTTAACACCTCAGAACATAACACATCCTCTCAGGTTCAAGAAAAGAAAACATTTTAATGTTTATATAAAGTGATCAATAGGCGTGGATACAACTCAAATACATAACATGGCAAAATATGACCTAGTGCCCAGGCCTCCGTTTAATATAAACAAGTCACGTGTACCTGTGAATGACCAAATAAATTAGGTACAGTTAGAGAGCAACATCCAACTGGAGGATGACCCAACTCCACAAACTTCGTTTGAAAAGTTGCCTTTAAAAAACACGACGAATATGTCAACTGAAATAAAAATTACGTAATGTTGTACTGAGGAGTCACTAGGAGTCACTAAGGAGTCACTAAGATCAGTTCTTACCAAACTGGAAACATTGGTCTATAAACAAGAAGAAGCGTTATCAATACGTTCCGCTTTCGCGCATGTAAATTTACTTTTCATAATTGGAAAGGTCGTCGTTTAATTAGATTCGTGCTCAGTTACAATTGGTTTTTTCTATGAAATTAGATTGTCCCCGCTATCTAATTTGAATTAGAATTTTAGCAAATTGTGAAGTTGTTTCAAAGTAGTTTGCCACCTACTTCGAACTGCTGAGCACAAAGTAATTTTGCTAACTCGCAATGACTGTTCATGCGTCTATTTCTATAATACTATAGTTCATGCGACTTAAACGATCTCATGACACCGTTGAAATAAATGAAATGGTAATCGAGTTCCATCGGTTCTAATCGCTAATAAAGCGCTCGCAAGAAAAATGTTTCGTTTGATCATAGTGTGTGTGTGTCATCGTGGGGTAACTTCATATGCTGAAAAGACAGTTAAATTTTCCATGCACCTAACTCCCAAAGACTATAGCTAATGTGTCTATTTCACAAAGACTTTAGTTCATGCACCTAAAGGCTATAAAATCTATATATATGTATATTGTTCGTGCATCTTAACAATATAGTTCATGTACCTAACTCCCAAAGACTATAGTTCACAAACTTAACTTTCAAAGAATATCTTTCACACACCCAACTTCAAAGACTAAACTCCCAAAATTCTTCTTCATGCACCTAAACTCGGAACGACTATAGTTCATACACCTAACTCCCAAAGACTATATTTCACGCACGTAACTCGCAAAGACTATAAGATCATGCGTCTATTTCCCAAAGAGTTTAGTTCATGCAACTAACACCAAAGAAAATAGTTAATGTATCTAATTACCAAAGACTATAGTTCATGCACCTTACTCCGAAGGACTATAGTTCATGAAAGAGCTCCCAAAGACTATAGTTCATGCACCTAACATCCAAAGACTATAGTTAAAGCACTTAAATTCCAAAACTTATATTTCACGCACCTAAATCTCAAAGATTGTTCATGCGTTTATTTCCCACTTATTGAACTCACTTGATTGGTGAATTGTATTTTCCCATGTTTTCAAAACTTTCTTAAAGGTCGTACATTCCAATTCTTGTTCTTAATTCCAGGATCACATACATATGAACTATTGACCAGACAAAATCATGATATCTAATTACAATGTGACATCACTCTTCACATCCATACCATTAGACATAGCCAAACAACACAACTAGACAAATAAAATCCTAGACTTACTCAACCTTTGCCTCTCCACTGAATTCTTCTTCTAAAACTCATACTATAGACAACTTTCAGCGAATCAATGGGGTCACCACTATACACCTTCCTCGCAAAAGCTGTCGTGCAAAACCTCGAAACACAATCAGTCACCAACAGCACAGATGAAACAGACAGACTATGGAATAGATATAAAGACGATATCTTTGCCATAGTCAAGAAAGCCAAAACTGGACAAATGCTACACACCATAAAAATACTACAAAGAAGATAACCTTCACTAAAGACAAAAACACAACAAGACTAAACAAACAAGTATACGGCATAAATACCCTTACAGACCAAATACTTGATTTCAACCGTAATCATTCCACACAACACAAAATAAGCAACATTCGAACACTTTTCAACAGAATTAACACTCACTGCAGCACAGAAGAAGCCAAAAAACAGAACGCAACTACTTGTTCTCATTTATAAAAACTAGTTACCCTATAGAAACTTTATAGACGAAACTATAAGCAAAATCAGTCAGAACTTTACTACTAACGGACACCTCCCGAAAGCAGACACTGCTATTAGGTCCCTGCCAATACTCTTACTATTAACTTATTTACAACCTCTCATAAGCAGACACCAAAACAATCTTCAAACAATTCTGTAGTGTTTATGGTGTTTCGAAAGTTCACTTTTAGGTGGTCATGGGAGAAAAATTTACATGAGTTTAATATTTACTGAGGAAATTACCATACACCAGCTATGGTCAAATGGCAATTTTGCACAAATTAACAAATATTCGTGGCAGAGATTGAATTTTTATATTTTCGTTGTTTCAAGAAATTTACATTGTTTTTGCTGGCATACGATAGAACATATTTCGCATACCTTCCTCCTAAACCCACTTTCCGTCATATTTTGCCGTTTAGTGTGCATTTCATAGCCGAATCTTATAACTTAGATATTTCATACAGGGACAATCCTTCACCATTGATAAGTGTCGTCGCTTTTGTGCTCGATAAATCCCGCTTCGAAAAAAATATAGATATGACGATATATTTTCGGATATTTTTGGGGTTTTTTTGTAGTGTTGTTCGCAATGATTCATAAATAGATCAAATTGAACCTTAGCCGACAATTACCCCGCACGTGTGATTGGGTCAAGATTGTCTGTCTAATACATTGTATACAGAACCATTTAAAAACCGCTATAAAGCTATTAAAACCAACAAAACACAATTAAAAACTATGTATAATAACTATATATATCGTAACAACGAATATTTTCATATTTTTCGATATTTTCGGTACATCGATATATCGATATACCGAAAACCAATATCGATAAACCGATATTTAAAACCCCGATATTTATCGATAATTCGATATGTCGCAACAGCCTACCTCGCAAGAGCCTTTATCGTCGTAAACATGCTTGGACTCATTCATGTTTTCAGTGGTTGACGAGTCCTCATCCAAAACTCTCGAGCGTATGCTAGGTGCTTCAACTACGTTCAATTTCATCAAGCTATCTTCAACCTGGCGTCGTTGTTTCTCTTCTGCCATGCTTGATTTTGTTTCAATGTTGGAAGTTTCATTTTCAAGCAGTTCTTCTACCTCGATCTACGAATTATAATATCTGTCATAAATATTAAAGCAGTTTGTTTATGTAGAAAATATGCAGACACAAAGTTATGAAGAGAAATAAAACATCTTTAACATTGTCACGGATATTACGAGGGGCATAACAAAGTGTTGATGAGTTTGACTAATTCTACGTTTATAAGAAACTTTTAAACAATTCTAACCCTAACCTTAACACTTACACTAACCATAATCTAACCCTGACCCTAATCCATACCCTAACCATTGAACCAATGTATGAACTGTAGTCAATTGTAGTCACATTATAAAGCCTACTTCCTATTGTTTTTGGAGTTCAATGTGCATTCTAATCTTTCGTTTCAAATCCGCATTTTATTCTTGTAATCTTGTAGCCCATATTCTTGCAAGCATTTCTCAAATGGATATTCACAAATGGAGACTCGACAAGATATGTTAATTTTTTTCACCAAACAAAAAATTTGTCACAGTCTGTTACGGGTCTTGCAGCTGACATATGAAATGTTTGTAAGTGTGGCAGGAAAATTACATTTATATAGCTACTCTTTGTTTTGCTATGTTAAGCATCACACAATAACAAGAAAACGAATGAGGAATTGGTCACATTTACCACTAAAAACAGTAAAATTCTAGAGCTCCAGTACGAATAGCAAATGACTGTCAAAACGAGGGACGATCTTGGCCCACTGCGATAATATTTTACCAAATGAAGGGAATTCCACAAAACATGTCCATTTGGACATATTATACAAGTGCACATGTGTCAACTAACCCTGGTTTAACCAAGGTTTGCGTTAAATACGACGCTTTATATTTTTCATCGCTGTAGTATGAACTACTTTGTTGATAAATATATAGTAATTCTGAGTAAAATATCTTTACCTTCCTCTGCACAACAAAGTTTTTCTTGTATCAACGCACACAGCCTCCTACTAGCTCAAGAAACAAGCCAAAATATGAAAGAGAAGCGATCTCGTTTGAGTGAAAACTTGATGGTAAAAGTTGAAAAGTTGCTGATGGTTATCGCCATAAATTACCAATGGAAGAATTTACCACCACGATAAAATCAATATTACCACCACTGATAAAGTATTAGTGACCAATGCCGCCAGTTTGCCAGTGACCAGTGGCATGTACGCGTACCTATTTTTCTATAATTGCGACGCATCATGGGATTTACATTCAAATTTATTTTTGTGAGTAAATTCATTTTATCTTTACCATAAAAATGTTGTTTTACTTCAAAAATCTTCGCTTGTCAGACTTCGTGAGCTGACTAAATCTCGCAAGCGTTCGATCACGGCCATGACCGATTTTTCACCGAGTACTTTGTTGTCACGTGTTCTGACGTTGACCGTGTCTGAGACCGTCTCTTTTTCACCAACAACTGTTTAAAAAACAACATAAAACCATTTAACCAATCGCATTTAGTAATAAAATGAACATCTATTTTGCTTTTTAAAATAGACAACACTTAAAAAGACAATGAACACAAAACAAACAAACAAAAACACAAACAACAAACAATCCAACAACAGCAAACGATAATACCTTACATTTTACAACTCGCACATCAACTGACTACCAAGAACAACGAGTACTGACAAGTGAGCATCACAATGCACAACATTACAAACAGCACTGACTATAGACAACGACTTACGTTAGAAAGTAGGTTAACAAACTCAAAACAAAAATCATTGAACAGAATACAAATATCAGCACCTTATAAACGGCTTACAAGCGAACAATTAATAAGTATACCACACAAACTAAAACATCCACATATTTTCCTCTCTGTCATGACGTCTAGAGAACAAATACGGCGAACCTGACTAATGTTGTGGAAACGTCAGTAAACTCTGAACACCAACAGTGGTTCCAAACCATTTTAATTTCTATTTATTTGTACAGTAAATAAAAATAATTTAAAAGACTTATTCATACCAAGAATGAAGTTGTACTGTGAAAGTTGTGCATTGCGAACTTTCTTATTTAGTGTTGATCCGTGATCCAAGTCTGTATCAACACGATAACCAGCTGCATGGAACTTCTTTTGAATCTAAACATGACCAAAATGTCAATAAAAAAGGACAAAAAATTCCAATTCATAAAATAGCAACAATTTGTCCATAGCTGAGTTTGCATTAGCCTGTGCAAGTTCGATCTAAGGCTTACCAAATTAAATTTACCGGTTCGGCATAATCATCATATTTACTACTGACAGGAATTACTACAACTTGATGGGGAGAAAGCCATAAAATCCTAGAAAATAACAGAAAATGCAGTGCGTCAAAATTTTGAAATAAAGCAGTAGAGTAAAATGATAAAAATTTCCAAACAATTAAGAAACTTTGTATCATTTTAATTTAACATTTTAAGGACATTTCATTTGCTTTAACTCTGGCATGAGCCAAGAAAACACTCACCATTTTCCACCAAAGCTTCAGCAAGAATAGCAATCATTTTTTCAACTGAACCTACAATAGCTCGATGAATAATACAGGATGTAATTTTATATCTCCTTCACCACTGTCAATAGAGTAATAGAATATTGATAAATTACTAAATTGTTACAATTTGTAAAGATCTACAATTTCATGGAAACTTAAACTGTGTAATCCTCTGACTATAATACACAGGCTTACATATGTTTGTGAGCCATTATCAATGATATTTACATGGGGGGGATGGATGCACAGGGATACATGCATGGACTATTAACTATTATATTGCAATTATCTGTTAACATTGCAATATTAAATGTAACTATATACTTATATGGGTGGGTTTGTTTACATGAGTTTGAATGCAGGTGGGACTTTCAGTGTTCAGCAATGTAGCAGGCTGCATATAAGTATATAGTATATATAAGCATATAAATATATAACAATAGGTTTCTATAGAAACAAATAATCATGTCACTGTTGGTTAAATAAATTAAGTATCAAGACCAGTGAGGTTATTCAACGAAAAGCTTACTGGCAAAACTTACCTAGCGTGAGGTTGAATCTCTCAGGAAGTTGGAAATCCAGTTCAATTGTTGCACATTGATGAGACCATCTCATAGCATCAAAAATTTTTATATTAATCTATAAATTGTGATAGCAATGAAATTATAAATTCACAATGGTATACATCTGTAAACATAGAAAGCTTCATCCCCCATCCCCAGGATTTATCTGCCGTTTTGACAAAATTATTCAAAGCTTCCATCAGTTTCTAATGAAGCATAAAACAAACTCATTTAGTTAAACAATTAAAAATATTATCAATCATTAAACATTTTCGATATTTATGACAAGACAGCTAAAAACATTGTAAAGACTGCATTTATGTTCGCTGTGAACAAATTTCCTCCCTTTTGGGAGGTAAACAAACCAATCTGTATGTCAAATCAACAAATGAAAACATTCTATATTTTATTTCATTCTTGAATAACTGTCTATATCTTTGATATCCATAAAGAGGAATTGCACGATGAAACAAATGTAACTTGATTAAATACTTCATTGGTTTCAAACCATTGAA